CATGACATTGCATTTATTTCTAATGAAACCAAAACTCTGTTGTTATCTTTAATGCATTAAAATTATAAATACATAATTTATAAATTGTTAATAAATGAAATTTAAAAAATCCTTTCTCTAAATTTAGTATTTTATCATTTTATTGTATATTCTTTGTTTGATATTATGGATATTAATCTAAAATAATATAAAAAAAAAAAAATTAAATACTTGCGCGAGTTTCCATGTTTCATTTTGGACTTTACTCAACAAAAATCATAGTCATATATTAAATCTTAAACGAATATGTCGATATATTCCGGCAGAGTTAACATCCTCTCGCAGCAGACTTTATAAACAACATATGATAGGACATCAATTTAAATATATTTGGCAATTAATATGAAATACACTAGTAGAAAAAAATATGTCTATAGACCAAAAATTTATCTACATTCAAATAATTAATTTTTAATGGTTAAACGGTGATCCAGTAGAATGAAAAATATATGAAAAACATCCATTTGATGAAAAGAAAAATACTCATAGAAAAACAGAGAAATTTCTATAAAACCATGCAAGTTACCAAGATATACTAAGTAGATTAACAATAAGATTATTAATATTCAAGAAAGACATTAATTCGAACAATATGAAAAATCGTACCGAACCTTTTTCAAAAAGTACATAACTTACAATGCTTATAATGTAAAAAAACCTATTTATCTCTAATCTTTAATATATATAAGACTACATTATTTATTTTTACGATATATATGCAAATTGCAGCACCCATGACCATTAAGCTTTTTTCTATTAATTTTTTTTCTATCTATTAACCATTTTTTCTAATTTAAACATTAATGGACTATGTATAAAATACAGCAAAAGAAAATGATATTGCCGAATAGGATCAACGATAAATCAATAAATAGAATTTGAATATTATATTATTATACAATGTAAAATGCATTAATGCATGCAAAAGGCAGGAATAAATAAAATCAAGGATATAGTCAAGGAATCCATGAGTGGCGGCTACATAGCTTTTATGTTTTTCGACTACACAACAACAAGGAATAGCATGAGACAATCACCATCGACTTACATATCATCAACGAACTACTTGAAAGTAAAAATAGGTAACGCAACATGTAGAAATTTCACTTCGGACTTAGTTTATGACAGTAGCCGTTTGAATATTTGAATAAGACTTAAATGAAATGAAATCATATGCGAATACGGAATTCTATAGACTACTCTGGTATTATCTTATTGTTATTAAATGAAGATTTTTTCTCAATCTCATAATGGCTCTTCGAACGGGCTTTATTATTATTAATATAATTATTATTATTATTATTATTATTATTATTATATCTTAATATAGAATCATCATCAAATAAAAAAAAAAAAATATGTAATAGTAAACGGAATTAAAAATGTACAGAAAAAGTAAATTGAAAATACCATAAATGTTATTCAAGGATTTTTAAATCTAATTTAAATGATGAAAACTCGTGTCATCAATTATAAACATCTGTCCCTATAACAATAAACTTAATATTATAGATCTAATTATAATATTCTGCCGTAATCTCGTGTATATATACTTCATTATAAATAGATATTAATTTTAAATTAGTGTACGGAATAAAGAAGACTTGAAACGGCATTGAGATCAAATTTTAAAATAAGAAAATTGAAAAACTCAACCTTCTAATGTATGCTTATATCATAGTTTGACGTTTCGGCTTCATTATATCTAAACTATTTAATAATTTTAAACGAACTAACCAAATACCTGAGGACATAAATAAGATTGAAGGAATGAAGATTTTCATATAAGAAAACATTCCGATTTGAAAAAAAAATGTTTTCTTTTATCTTTCAATTGTATTACGATAATATCGTACATAGCATTTTGACATTAAAAATAAGACGATATATGTAAAAAAAATTACATTACATTTTTCCAAGCAGATAATTTCAATATAAGATTCGTATATATATATTATAGCTAGATATTTTTCGATTACATTCCCGTCAATATTTTCTCAATGTATTTGACACTATCAATTAAAATTTTAATACAATCTAACGCTTAATATAATCTAACGAAAAATGGAATGTAATGAATTGCAATAGATGTGAAAATTAGTAAAACGATCGTTCCAAATTAAATCTCATGAATTTCAAAGAGTCTCTGCAGTAGCATTTAATAGAGTAAATATTAATAAAATAAAATTATGCAACTCTTATTTCGAAAAAGATTGAAGGTTATTTATTTAGAAAATATTTCACCATTAAAAGAATATCTTTTTTTTTTTTTTTTTTTTTTTATAGAAGTTTAATAATACAGATTCACAACATCGCGACAAATTTCTAGATGTTTTTTTAATGTTGAAAAGTTGCAAAGTAACATTGAAATAAAATCCTCCTAACAATGCTAATTATTTAAAGTAAAATGATTATTCCTTCTAATAATTAATTATATAATAATTTAAAATTAACAATAATTAGGGGTCTACTAGAAATATAAGAGTATTTATTACCTATAAATACGTCCTCCTCCAATTATCGTATTTAATAATAACTCCTCATATCAATAAAGTTCAGATATTACGTTAAAACAATGAGATATAATTATTTCATAACGTAAAATTATTTAAAACAATTAATATTAAATATTTCTTTTCATTGATATGAAGTATAAATGATGTGCTTTTCAACAAAACAACTTTGTCTTTAATATTTATATTAGTTAATATAACTAACTGTTTAATAATATAAATAAAAAAAAATTTTTTATATCATACTGCATAATCTTTAATAATTTACTGTTCAAAAGATATTAGAAAATTTTATGTATTTCCATATAACATTTTACAGGCACATATTATAATGCAGTCACATAAAACGTAATAATTAATAATTTATAATTATATGTTTTTACTATAAATCATTTATGAATAAAATCCAATTTAATGTATTGGAAACATAATAATAATTTTATTGTAGCAAATAAAATTGGAACGGTAATAGTAATAAATCTTGTAGTTAAAAAATCTCCTAATTAATTGCTAAATTATCTGCAAAACATTGTCATCTGTTAATTTTATTCTCACTTTTCTTTAACGAAATATCTCCATATATTAACTAAAGAATTAAGTAATAAATTATGAAAAATGCATATATAACAACAATGCTCATTAACGCGAAAAATTAAATTATATGCATAGCAACTACTTTTATTCTAAACGAGTCATATCACTGAATCAACACAAAAGGATTTCATCATTTCCGTAGGATTCGAAAATAACTACTGCGCGATTCAACATCATTTGGATGAGCGCCAATCCGCGCTTATTAATAATTTGCTGACACTTAATTAGAAATTATACCGTTGTAAATTGTGCCTTCGAATAGTACGATAATGTAAAATAAATATCGGATAATTAGTTATTAAAGAATTTTCAAAGAACTCTAATGAATTTATTTTTACGATCCATATTTAACGATATGTCTTGAGTATTTATTTACACTAATGGCACAGCGCTACCGTTTTGTTTGTTTGTTTGTTTTTTTTTTTTTTAACGTGAAATCTTTAATATATAAATATAAATTTATTAAATTTGTCTAATGCCGACGTAGTTATGTTGAAATTGGAAATTTTATTTTAGAATTTTCAATCATTTCACTGGGAAAGACCAAACATTGAATAAAATTAGTGGAATATATGAATTATATGATGGATAGAGTTTGAGAAAACAACGAAATGAATACTGTGTTCTTTTACATTTTATTTAACAATATTTTTAGTAACAATTAATTTATATTAAAATTTCAATTAATTAATTCATCATGCATATATAATTCATTGAAATAACCTTATAATGTATAATATCAAGCATACAGCATAGCTCGCTATGATTTACTTGCAAAACCTGAAACTAAATAAATAATTAATATTAATTAAGTGACGCTATATTGTAAACTATTATTATGAAATTGATATATTTCCAATGCCCTCTAGGAATTTATTTGCTCTCATTGTAAATTCTTTTTCTAGTAGAAAAATAATTTTCTAGCATATAAATGTCAAATAAAAGTCTCGTGGAATGAAATTAAATTTCAAATGACCAAACAGAGAAATAAGAAGAAGAACTTTTTCTAATTCCTATAATTAATCATTAGACCATCCCCCCATTAGATGTTGATGTGAAAGTTACGCTTATAATGAACTGCTCAAGAATACAATAATAATACTTGTGCACTTACGTACAAAGTTACATAACATTTTCCGGGCAACTTGAAATTCTTCACATTTTTCAAAAATAGTGTACTTATTTTTCCAACTCTTAAAGTCATTTTTCACGCTAGTGAATAAAAATCTTAAATATGTGGGCTATATAATCCAAGCAAACATAAAATTTGTCTACTTACATGTAATAAATCAAGAGCACAAAGGATGTATAAATTACATTTCTTTATGTGACTACTTCTTTTTATGTGAACTTTAAAATTTATGACGCTAAGTTCAGACAATTTTACAGACAAATATTTAACTTGCAATTTCAAAATATATAGAGTATTTGTATTTGTTTTTTAATCATATCCTCTGTATAAAAATAAATATATAATAAAATAATATTCTTCATTCATGGATATTGGTAATTAAGATTAATAATGCGCCATCGGATGGTCAAAAATGAAAAAAAATTTCAGTAAACTATTGTTGTTTAAACTGTTAGAAATAAAATCGCAGAAAACGTATCTATTAAATTTTTCTTGAAAAACAATTGATGTTTTTTGTTGTTGTTTTTTCTTTTTTGATTTTTTTGTTTTTGTTTTTGTTTTCTTTTTTTTTCCAGCATTGCCAATACAATTTTCCTTAAAGTGCATTAATAAGTCTAGAAAATATGTTAAATACAAATTTAAATTGGATTATACAAAATTTCTATGTTCATATTGACATGTAAATAATTTACAATATATGACGCTTTCTTTTTTTCTCTTAGGATGTTTTAGTTAAAAGATTTCATCCGGATGCGCATGCCTTTACAATGACAGTGACACCCTTGGCACCACCTTCGGTTCAGCTTGTACCGGCTAAAGAATATAATGGGGCACCAATAGGAACGAGTTACGACATTCGAGTTTACGTAGGTAGGCAATTGCAAAGCTTAATCTTCTTTTCTAAAATACGTATTTAATTAATACTTAATTGCTATATAGTTTATATGAAGCAGCATATAATTAAAATAATCCTTTAAATTCCAATGAAACTGTTTGATATCGTTGCAAATACAGGTGAAACTAAAATTCACAATACGATGCATAGATATTGAGTTACTGAGCAATTGCTAATGCCAGTTGCATCATTCATAATTATTTAATCTACAAAATTATTCGTTGATAAAGATGCATTTACATGTTATTAAACTGAATCGCTTATAAAACCACTTACATAAGTTTAAAAATAAATAAATAAATATTAGTAAATTATTTATTGCAAGTATTTTATTCTGTTCATTAATAAGTATTAATAATAAGTTGGAACTAATTGTTAGAAATAATTATTAGAAATATAATAAGGAATTGGATAGTATTTATATTATATTGTATTTATATAATATTTTATTGAAATAAATATATTAAAAATTAATATACTCTATTCTGTAATAAAATCTCGAATATATTATATTTTTTAATCGTCTAGTCTTTATAAAATTAAAATACTTTTCTCATCTACCTCGTATCTAATGAAATAATTATAAATAGTATTTTACGTTACGAAATAAGATTTTCAATAATACTTTTCCTACATACTTTCAAGAAAATTCTAAAATATATGACATCAAAGTAAAAAATTAAAAGGAAATATTAAAAACATAAGAAAGTTATTAGAAAATTATATATCAGAAAATTAAATGTATCGTACAGTATTTATACCACAAAAAACTATAATTTTATTACGTATATATGGTTTTTTTTTTTGGACACATATTTCGCAAAATGCATAATTATACAATTAATTATCGACTTTTATTAAAATTTTCTTTGGTGTACATTTTCATATACATTGATACATTGGACTAATGAACTATAGTTAATGAGTTAATATTATGAAAATATTAACATTTAATATTTTATATATATATATAATATATATAATATGTATAATCTAAAAAATTTTAAAAACAGTCATAATTAATATTTTCTTTTTTTTAATATTTCTACAAGCCGTATTTTTCCATAAAATAGTATTTGTTTATACATCAAACTAGAGATTTTTTTTTTTAAGAAGGATATTACAAGTTATGTCTTAACAAAACTAGACATGATAAAATGTCTAACTCTTTATCAAAATTATATTGATCACATTATTCGAATGCACAATAAATATAAATATTAAATAAAATTTATAGGAAAAATGTCTATTAATTACAAAAATCTTACTCATATTAAAAAGTAGCGCATTCAAATTATGTTTTTAACATTTTACATTAAACGTTAACTAGACTTTTTCTACATCATAGAAAACTTAATATTATATTAAAAATTATAAAAAAATAAAAAATTTTTTTATATATATAAATATATTATATCAGCTTTCTTCATTATAATTGAAAATTTTTAATTTATTTTTTAAATAATATAATAAGCAACATTACAAATATTTTTTATAACTTTTCAAGAAAACCAAGATTATAAAAATTATCAGTACTAAAAATTAAATAAATTAAATAAATATTAAATAAATATATTAGTTTATATTAAATAAAATATTAGGTAAAGTAAAACATTAAATAGAATTATGTTACAGTATATCCACCAAAATATTTACCATAAAATACTGAATGCATAAAGCTTTCCTTGTATTTATAACATTAAATTTTCAAAAGCTTCTTATGTTATTAGTAAATTTTATTATATATTTATATGTGTATATTTGTATGTTTGTGTATCTAAAGTTAAAAATCTATTCATAGAATATATAAATGAAACAAAAATTATTGGGTGTCGATATTTTGAATAATCAAAATTCAAAATTTTACGTCGGAAATAATTCCGCTTTGACTCAAAAGGATATAAAGCAATCACATATTTAAGCTGATACAATATTTAAGGGATTAATTAATTTTATTAAGCTGAATTTAACAAAAACCTGTTAATTATAATAGTTTTTAAAAAATAACATGGACTATCAATAATTTGAATTTTAATTGTTGACAAATATAATTATTAAGTATAAAATATTTAATATACCAATATTATTTCGTATTTTAATTTAATTACTATATAAATATATTGAAATAGTACATCGGAACGGTTATATAATCGTCAATATTAATATTAATTTTATAAATAGGTAATATATAATATTATGAATAAGTAATAGAATTTTTTATTTAATTAATAAAAATATGATAATATTGTATCCAATTCATTAATGTAAGTGTGAAAGCTCTATAGATTGTTAAAAAATCATTTCTCATAAATTTTTGAAGAAAATAAAAGAATTTCACATTGAAAATAATTCCAGGAAAATAATAAATTGAAAAAAATTGAAAAAATTGAAAAAATTGAAAAAAATTGAAAAAAATTGAAAAAAATTGAAAAAAATGAAAAAATTGAAAAAATTGAAAAAATTGATAATAATGGATAAGTAATTTCATCGATATAATGGAATCCGTAAGTGATTATGTCGTACAAATAGAAGAAAAATGTAAGATATTGTATTCTTTTACTTCTATAAAAATGTAAAAAAACAAGGAAATATTTTAATTAAGTAATGCGATCGATTTAATATGTCAATTGTATTTTTTGACATATGCCTTGTAATGACTATAATCAAAATTAAATATTAAAACCCTAATGAGAGATCTAGATGCACTATGCAGAATACGAGATTAGTTTCACTGATTTAATCCTTATTAATATGTACAAATAGAGATATATCGTAATCACTGAAAAAAATATTGTTTAAACAGAATCATCAAAACTAATTATTAAAATACATAACCAATAAATAACATAAAATGCTTTAGATTAATAAATATAGTAATTGTTAATGATCGATGATAAAAAATCAAAATATTCAGCTTCGTCTTATCCTAAGTAAGATCAATTATTCAAATTCAATAATATATAAACTAAATAATTGATTACAAATTCCTTATATTTCTTTGGTAAATTGTCGATCTTGTTAATTATAAAAATATTAATTATACTGATAATAAACGTAAAATGATATCTGTAATTATTATTAAAGGGAATATATAATGTATTGAAATTAAAATAAGGAGTTTGATCAGATATAATTTCAAATATTTCAAGATAAATAATATAAATGAGTGAAAGTCTCGTCACAACGACAACTATAATACTCGAAGATATATTAACAACTTTTTAATTATTAATTACTATTAGCACATTTATAATCTTGTCTTACAAAATATTATGCTTAACTTTCTGTAATAAAGTCATTTTAAATTATTTTTTGTGACCAATTGGTACTATAAAGATTATACTGCCATACAATCCTATTAAATATCGAAATATTTTATGCAAGTCACTATCTAAGAAATTTAATCTCGATCCTGAAATATGTCTTTATAATTTAACATTTTAAGGAAATGTTCGTACGCTTAATATGCTTTCCTTAAGTTGAAGGCATAAAACTAATCCGTAATATTACATAGGCTAGCAAAACTTTTTTCTATATAACAATTAGTAGAACTATCTTTTTATGCAACTATAATGAAATAATTTTTACGAAAAAAAAAAAAAAAAAAAATACAAATTTGGGTAATTCACAAAAAATATTAAAATATTATTTCAATTGGTCTCGATGTTAATATTGTTTATACTATTCCTATTTATCTCCACATAAATATATAATGGAAATGCAAATATAATAATCTTCATGGTGCAGAAACTTAGACACGAAATTATTATCAAATGGGTTCTATCTAATACGGAAAACAGGCTTGCGTTCATTTATTATAAACTTATAATTAATGTAATATACACGCGCGCGCGCGCGCGCCCACGCACACACAAAAGATAATAAAAACAATTATCGTTTATAATACAAATTTCTAAAAATATTACATCGCCCAGCTTCTTTGGTAAATGGCAAACACCTCGAGAACGTCGCGAACACAAATGTCAACTCTTTTCTTACAGATTATCGTTATCTACCAACACCCACTTAGGTGACCCGTAACATGTAAAACGGGATTATTCGTTTCTCAATTTACTTAACTCCTGTTAACAAGTTGTTAAATACATCTCGTGTACGTCATTTGTATCAGACAAACTCTACATAAGCCATATTATTGCAGGTCGGATTGTATCCCTTATCCTCCGCTCGAGTGCTTATAGATTTTGTCAATGGTCTCAATGGTATCGAGCAGACACAAAGATCTAAACAATATTAGAATATCCACTGGGTTGGCACATTTGACGATGAGTCCTTTCAGCATAAAAAAAACGACCGCTTTTGATCAACGGAAGATTCGGGTGCATTGTAACTATCGCCTTCGGCAATTTAATTCTGGAGCTTTTCAATTCAGCTGTGCCTCGGTGAAAAATGTAAATTGCTAGGTCGCAGGAAGTTTCTGGTGTCTTTATTAGTTGCGACTACGTAAGGGAAAGATTATTTACGATTGTTTCCATTGTGCTCGTAATTTTGGCGGTTTCTTCTTACAAAAAGCTGAAAGTTTCCGAGTCACGCATTTGGATCCGCGATCCCATGAATTACTTTAACTATTCATCCAGTTAATTATAACGTCGCTGTTGAATTCTAATAAATCTCCGGTATGTTCGCTATTTCTTGTTTTAATTTTCCAGTACCGGAGGCGCGAACACTTATTCCAAAGTTCATCCAGTAGTAAACACAGTACTGTTTACCACTAGTCGGTACTACTTTCGAAACCTGTTGCTTGAGTAATATCGAAACAGCAAACTTATAATCATCATAATCATCTTTTTTTATTGTTGTTGTTGTTGTTGTTGTTGTTATTGTCGTTGTCGTTGTCGTTGTCGTTGTCGTTGTCGTTGTCGTTGTCGTTGTCGTTGTCGTTGTCGTTGTCGTTGTCGTTGTCGTTGTCGTTGTCGTTGTCGTTGTCGTTGTCGTTGTCGTTGTCGTTGTCGTTGTC